TTGTCTACGAACCACGGGATCGGTCCTGCTCCCCTCGAGGATTTCGAGCATATTCGGCGTCCAAACTCGTCCTTTTCGATCAGCCGATCCTGTCAATGCCAGTGTCAAGGTCCATGGAAACCTATCTATGGAACTTCCTTTCCAAAGGAATTACTATACTGGGCCCACATTCACCTTTGTCGGTGGACGACATCACATACAATGCCGAATTACTGTCGAATTCCTATCAATTCATCGCGGAAAATTGGATTGCGCTACAGTCCAAGTTGAAGAGCATCAACAAGTATAAGCTGATGATCTGGCTGGCAACGATAGCCTTTGCAGAGAATGCAGACTTCGCGGTTATCCAAACCTTGGCTTCATTCAAGACAAGCAGCACTATCCACGCACTCTATGCACCTGTGTCAGATGGCTTTGATCTCTCTAATGGCAAGAACTTCATGGATTCAACAGTGAGGCATGAGGTCATGAAAAATTTCAAGCCCTTCGATTCCTGTCCCGAAATGTGTATGCAGCGAATGGCCTACGAAGACGACCATTCATTCATGAAAAGGCGAGAGAGCGAATTCCTCAGCAACAGAAACATTGCTCTAGAAACCTTTCTCAACATGATAAAGTCTCAGTGGTCTTGTCGCGTTCCGAACCTGCCCGCCGGCTACAAAAAGACGAACAGTTGGAATCGATATATAGACGTGGATAGTGCGATGGCAAGCATCAGGACCCATTTCCAAACCTGGTACGACAACCTTCAATTTGAAAAATACCTTCGAGAGGTAGCTTGCTTCTTGCCGACTGCAGTCAGCCCACTAGAATTGGCGGTGCCTCTGCTGGCAACAACAGACTGGCCCACATATGACCAGCCTCGGTTTCTGACCGAAAACCCTTTGTTCATGAATTCTCCGCCACCTTCACTGAGCGAGGAGGTTTGGACTTTGGATCACGATTCATTTAGCAAGCGTTCCAAGAGAGGGTATAGATTACCCGCGCTGCTTTCCCGGCTTCGTGTTCGTCACCGCAAGCTCGGTCAGTACGAGAGACATTACGTGGAGGCCCTGGCTTCAAGCATGGAGGCTTTAGAACGTCGTCAGTTGTCGGAAGATCATTACCGCACATCGCCAGAAGAGATAGCGAAACTGGTGGTTTCTTACCTGTATCGCTGGCAAGCGATTGTTCAGGAGACGTACGAACTCATCGTACGCCGCCTTCTGAGCTGCGAAGAAACAGGGTATTCAAGAGTACCCACCTTATTACCTGACTTCTACCAGTATCCGAGACTCTCAACATCCACCCTTCTTCGCAGACTAAATCATCTACATCGTGACTCAACACCAACTCTTTGGAAGCTGGCATTGACGCAATTTGCCATCGCACTCACCCAGTTTCAACGAGCGAAGCGGATGCTGGGTTGCTTAGAAGACCCAGCTGCATTGGCGAATGAGTTGCGCAATCCTGGCCACACGAACTGGTCCCCTTTGAAGTACCCAGACACTCTGCTGCTAGAGGTTGAGAGCGGCTTGATAGTCAGGGAGGTGCAGGAAGAGATCGCGGAAAGCATGAGAAGTCCGCCCAACGATGAGAATGCTGTCATGCAATTGAACATGGGCGAAGGCAAGTCGTCGGTCATTGTGCCGATTGTGGCAGCCTTTCTTGCGGACGGAACACGACTTGTTCGGGTTATTGTGGCGAGGCCTCAGTCAAAGCAGATGCTTGAGATGCTCGACTCGAAGCTTGGGGGCCTACTTCAAAGACGCATTTTCCATATGCCCTTTTCTAGGGCCGTCAAAGTCGGGCCCTCAGAGGCGATAGCTATTCAACACATTTTTGAAGAGTGCATGGATTCTGGAGGGATTCTGTTAGTTCAACCAGAACATATTCTCTCGTTCCAGCTTATGGCGATTGAGACAGCCATTGCTGGCAGTGTGAGCGTTAGTCGAATGCTCGTCAGTTCCAAGGACTTTCTCGACAGAGTTACTCGCGACATTGTGGACGAAAGCGATGAAAATTTCAGCGTCAAGTTCGAGCTGGTGTACACCATGGGTACTCAGCGGCCTGTGGAACATAGCCCGGAGCGATGGGTATGCATACATCAGGTCCTTGAAGTCATGAGGAGGTTGCTGCCTGACATTCACAAGAGATACCATAGCTCCTTGGAGGTTGCTGGAAGAAATCGTGGCTGCTTTCCTAGAACGCGAATCTTGCGCGACGACGCAAAGGCTACCTTGCTCAATCATATGGCTCGTCGTCTCAGCGAATCTGGATTGACTGGACTTCCGATGGGAACTCAGTCTGCCTCCATTCAACAGGCGGTTTACACCTACATCTCCAAGACGAGCCTCATAGAGTCTGAAGTCGATGCGGTCGAAATGTCAGATATCTGGTTGCCAGCTACGCAAAACAGCATCCTACTACTACGAGGGCTCATTGCCGGCCAGATTCTCAGTTTCGTCTTCTGTCAAAAGCGATGGAGGGTCGATTTCGGCCTCGATCATAATAGGCGGCCACCTACACAACTTGCAGTGCCATATCGAGCAAAAGACAATCCCAGCGCCCGCTCCGAATTCAGTCATCCGGATGTCGTTATTATTCTAACATCGCTGAGTTATTACTATGGCGGCTTGACTGACTCCGATCTTTTCTTGAGTTTCGAGCATCTCGTTCGTTCGGACATGGCCGACATGGAATACCGCTTCTGGGTAGAGGACAGCGATCAACTACCTCTCGCATTCCATCAACTCTCTGGCATCAATTTAGAAGATCGTCCACAGTGCATCGAACAGATATTCCCATGTCTAAGACATTCCAAGGGTGTTATCGACTATTTTCTTCATCATCTGGTATTTCCCAAGGAAATGAAGGAATTCCCGCACAAGCTCTCTGCCTCAGGGTGGGATATAGGAGAGAGGACAGCAAATGCGACGACTGGATTCAGCGGGACAAACGACTCGAGAGCCTTTTTGCCGTTGAGCGTCAAGCAGCTGGACTTACTGGATCAGAAGCACACCAACGCTTTGGTACTCGAGTATCTACTTCAGAATGAGAACTCCGTGGCAATGATTCCGGCAGCAGACAAGAACAGATTGAAGTCAGACGCCGAGACTCTCTTGAACATGGTTGTTGGGCTGAAACCTCCCGCTCGAGTGATTCTCGACGTCGGCGCTCAAATCTTAGAACTAGATAATCTCGGGGTTGCGAAAAAGTGGCTCGAGATGACGGAAGACAACGAGATGACACAAGCTGTTATCTTTTGCGATGAGCACGATACTATTTGTGCTGTGGATCGCAGGGGCCGTGTCGAAAGCTTCCAGACTTCACCGTTCGCCACTCAGACGGACGTCTGTCTTGTCTTCCTTGACGAGGCTCACACTCGAGGGACCGATTTGAAACTTCCGGCAGAATATCGTGCAGCAGTAACTTTGGGGGCAAACTTGACCAAAGACAGATTGGTTCAAGGTGAGTTCATATGGCTTGCATGAGCTAGGATTATCACTAATAGTTTGTCCAAGCCTGCATGCGAATGAGAAAGCTTGGGAAAGGCCAGTCGGTTGTTTTCTGTATGTCCGACGAAATCAAGCATAAGATTGCTGCCCAGTCAGAAATTAGCGAGGCCTCAATTGAGGTGACTCATGTTCTGGAGTGGTCCATCTATGAGACGCTCATGGATATGGAGCGAGGCGTTTGGCTGTGGGCAAACCAAGGTCGTCGGTACCAGCAACATCGAGTCCTGTGGGACAACTGCATGATAGAGGGATCCACGAACCTGACTGAAGATCACGCAGATCAGTTCCTTGAAGAAGAGGCACAGACTCTCGAGACTCGATATCGACCAGGTTACCAATTACCAGCCGGTTTGATGGGCGATGAAGGTACTGGCGATGCCATCACCGATAGGCTGCTGCAGTTTGGCCGTCACAATGCAGAATCTGCGACATTTCGAGAAGAACAAGAGCGGGAGCTATCGCCAGAAGTCGAGCAGGAGAGAGAAGTGCAAAAAGCCCCTCCTGCTTCGCCTGCGAAACATCACCTACACTCAGACCTCCGCGCATTCATTACTGGCGGGACGCTCAATTTGCACTCGGGGGCATTCATCTCTGCCTTTCAGTCTCTGTCAGAAACCAGCGCCGCTCAACGCTACGATGTGAATAAGTTTCCTCAGGGACTCTTGGTAACAACGGACTTTGCTCGAACAATCATTCCCACGGGAAAAAGTTCAGGTTATGTCTCGGATCTTTTCCAGAGACCTGTGCAGTGGGTTCTCACGAGGGCTCGTGGGACTGACACTGTGATCACCATCAGCCCCTTTGAGGCTCAAGAACTCCTAGCAGACATACAGAACTCCAGCTTTGTTTCGCTGCATCTTTATGCCCCACGACCTAACCTCGGGTTCCGTCCTTTGGATGATCTGAATCTCTTCACCATCCCGCACCAAAGACTTCCTCAGAACTTCCCTATTCGACTTGTCATTGAGCTGAACCTATTTTCGGGTCAACTTTATGTCAAGTCAATGGATCAGTACCGGGACCTACGGCGCTTCCTCACGTTGGAATCGGATGACTCAAGGGTCGATCATGAGATTGAACTACCACAAGTAATCGATCAGGGGTACCTCGTGCAATTCATCAAAGTCGTGTTGATGAAGATACGGAGAAACTGTGAGTCAATTGACAAGACTCATGTGGGCCGAGTATTGGAGCAGAGGACTTTGGATGCTTCGGATTTCGAGGACGGCACCTAGACGCAAAAGTACTCATTTGAGATGATAGATAGTCTTTCCTATCAAAGAAAGCATTCAGAACCTTGGTCTTTCACTAAGGTAGAAGGTACAAGTTACTTCAACATTACATTTCCTCCACTCTATCAATCAACCTATACGTATCCCGATACATAATCTCATTGATGTTCATGCAGAATAATCATAATTCTTCTTGCTTTATACAAGAGAATCTCCTCTTTCTTTCTTTGCTCGACCATCTCACTTGAGGGAACCTCTCCCCAGCCCTATATTAAACTCGCTTTCCATCCTGATCGTATTCTTTCTTCACCCAAGAACCAAAGTCCAGCATCCCGGAGTTCTCTCGCTTCACAGCCGCGATATCGACCCCAAAGCCATCAGTGTAGAACCATCTGTACATGGCGCCGAACTCGGGGATCATCCAATGCAGGAATCTAACCAGAAACTGGAACGTCTCTGGGATTTCCGTCCCCTTCTTAGACTTGAAGATAGCACTAGCAGCTTCCAGCGTAAGCTCGTCACCAGCCAAAGGAATCTGCCTGCCGGCGAATTCTTGGGGATGAAGGAAGGCCTTCGCGGCGGCTCGTCCTACATCCTTGACAGAAACCAGCTGGAGAGGCTTATCCTTGACCGCGACGCGCCACGATGTAGCCATGATCTTGGTACCCATTCCCGGCTCCATATTTTCCATAAATGCAACAGGTCGAAGAATGGTCCAATCCATCTTGCCGCGCGCTTCCTCAACCAGGTGATGCTCGATGCGATATTTGCTGACGAAGTGAGATACACTAGGGACGTAGTTGTCGTATGAGCCGTCTCCGCCTCTGTCGATGGAGCTGTATGTGAAGAACTTGATATTGTTGGATAGAGCTGCATCAACTAGCGCTTTGCCTTGGGCTTCTTCGAGTTCTGCCGATGCTCCTTTGCCAATGGCCGTCTATTTGTTCATTAGCAACACAAGATGATTACTACAACTGAGATTTCCCGAGAAACTCACTTGTACACTGAATAAGCCCCAAAGCTCAGTATTAGAAGAGCTCAATGCTGCTTTGGCGTCAGAGAAGATTGCGGGAACGTCGTTGAGATCGCCCTGGATGACAATGACCCCACGAGATGCTAAGCTTTTGGCTTTAGAAGAAGCAACATTGCGGGTAACGGCGATGATCTTGTAGGTGCTTCCGGTTTCTGACTCTAGAAGTGCATCAATCACGGCGCCGCCTTGTTTGCCGGTTGCACCAGTAACGAGGATGGCCCTAGTTAATTGCGAATCACTAGACATGATTGGAGAGATAATGTGTGGGTTCTGCTTGTCGAGACTTGATAAGAATACTTGCATGTATTTTCGGTATGTGATAGTAGTAGTAGACCTGTAGGACTTGATACTAGATGATGTTAGAGTTGCTGATAATCCTTTAAAAGAAATGGAAGAACAAGGAGACATCATCTTCCTTATATCTCCAAAACCACCAGGCATGAGAGCCAATTCTCATCCTCAAAATAAACCATATGCATCTTCAACCTCGCCTCTTCGCTTCTCGCGACAGCTCAATCGCCGGACTTCTAAATGATTGCTCATCAATTTTATCTCGTGGTGGTTGCAAACGAAAGGATGCTACCCCTGGCCTAGTGTACTTAGTGAAACGATAAGTCTTGCGTGCCGGGCAAACGGACAAAAGCGCGTTTCTGCAGGCTTCCTGTCAGCTTAGAAATCCGCACCCAATGCTGTTATTCTATTGGCTAGAAACATCATGAGAAGAATGACGCTGTCCGCCAATGTGCCATTCCAGAGTGTTTGGATTCGTCAGCTGCATGGGCTATATCAGTCTTACCGCATGCAGACCATGTAGCTGCGGGCTAACCCGATCGCTCGAATAGGATATCGGTCCAGTGCCAAAAGGGTAGCTTAAATCGACGTGCATATAGGTATCTTTCTTTTGGGATTATAAGTACAACGGGTTGGCGCTAGCCATGACAGCTCTCACGTGCAACGACATCATGAAAAGTCGATGAATTAACACAGGCGGGATAGGACTGGGTGAGGAACAACTCTTCTTGTCCTCGCTTGAAAGGATCTAGCAGCTGGGCATGTCATTTGAAAAATCAATTAGACGACATGAAATGTAGAAATATGACTAAACAATCAGAAAAGCCCTCCAGAAGTCTCCGCCCCGAACAGATTCACTCGGATCCCAGCAGCCTTTGGAGCAGAACACTCCGTCCCATTCACACAGACATTGAAGCCACAACAATTATCAACCAGACACACACCACCTCCAGCACAGGGCGATGTCGCGTTACACTGATCATACCCAACGCATCTACCCGTCCGGAACCCAATACCCCCGCCCTCCAGAGTCTTGCCGCAGAGGCAGTCAGAGTCAGGGATAGAGGCTTCGGGTGGGTAGAACCGTTCTCCATCTTGCACGATGCAAGCGTTTGCATTCGGGCAGCATGCAAGTGCTGTCGGGTCCGTGATGTTGCGCTCGTACTCTGGGCCTGATGAGGGTAGGGCCGTTATGTTTGCGAGTGAGATGGGTGTAGTGGAGGTTCCAGCCGTGAAAGTGAGGTTCAACGTCTCAGTCGAGATGAGAGAACGGCAGACTTCCGTCTTGATAGTTGTGACACCGTATCCCTCAACAATATCACCTAGACCCGATCCAGAGCCCGAAGTCGAGTTCTTGAACGTTGCGGCCGAGAAATCGTAAAGGTTCATAAAGCTGTCAATGACAGCCAGGATTCCCTTGCCGGCATCAGAGCCAAGTTGTAATCCAGCATCGATGAAGGGCTGCAGAAGCTCGTCGACGTTGATAACACTGCCGAGTTGCTGGAAGAGCAGATTCCACACCGACGTGAGAGGTGGACAACTCCCCACCAGAGATCCCTGCGTTAAATGATCCAGGGTCTGTTGAACAGACGTCTCACACTCCATGGAACCGCTCCCGCTTCCCGGGAATGCGCAATTCGCAACAAAGTCTCCCGTGGCATCTGGGAGAACAATGCATTGGGTATCACCTAGCGCGACTGACACTGGCAGATCAGCACGGGCAGGATTACCGCACTGGTCTTTGAGATGGAGAGTGATGTCGAATGCGTCTTGTGCCATCTCGGCCAACGTCCCTTTGAAAACGGGAAGACGGCGAGGATCTGTGCCGTTTACTGGGATATCAGTAGTGTTTGTACAGGTCGAATTTGTCAGGGTGTTCAGTTGCTGGAAGAAACCAGAGATGAAGACGTCAATCTTGGGTGAGCAATTTGCCGAGGCAAAGTGCAAGCCCTCGCTGTCGATGGAGAGCACATTGCCGGCTTTGTCAAGGATTCCAAGTCTTGATGGGTCGGAGACGTCGACGAGAACTGGGTTGGTGGCATTGTCTATCAGGCGGAGGTACTGAACGGAGTGCGTAGTCTCATTGAGGTAGAACGCGTCGATGTACGGAGGAGTACGGTTAGTGACGTTCAGGAGAGACTCATGTAGCGATGCTGTAGGTGTTGGAAGGGCGTAGCACGAAGTCGCATTTTGCGCTACAATGACCGAGATACCCGTAAAAGCGGAGTCATAAGTTGAGGTTGAGGTCGCCGAAGTACTCGCCGGCGCAGATGAAACCCCAGTCGTGGATGATGAGCTACCCGCTGTCGGGGCTGTACCATTGACAGTGCTCACGAACGTGGCGCCGCCGGTCAGGCTGACAGCTGTCGGTGTTATCAGACTCAAAGAGCCTGGCGTCAGGGTACCAAAAATGGTGGAACCACCGACGACTGTCCACGTTGAAGCCACACCATCAATGACACTAGTAATGGCTGTCGGAGTAGCGGTTGCCGTGGGAGACCCTGCTGTGGCGTCGGACGAAGCGAAGATGGTTGAGCCTCCGATTACTGTCCAAGACGAGGCGATGCCCCCAATAACGCTCGTGATGACAGTTGCGCCGGGTGGTAGTTCGCCCGAAGCAGAAGGTGGGCTTGCGATCGGACTGATGGTAGAGCCACCGATCACCGTCCATGAAGAAGCAACTCCCCCGATGATGCTGGTCACAATGCTCGCACCAGGTGGCAGATCAGATGAAGCAGTCGTAGCGCTTGGCACTGGACTGACTGTTTAGCCTCCAATGACCGTCCATGAAGAGGCGACACCTCCGATTATGCTCGTGACAACAACTACATCACCAGTTGTGGCCGGTGTAGGAGTCGAGCCCGTGGCATTTGTTGGGTTCACCATAGTCGAGCCTCCAATAACAACCCAGGTTGACACGACCCCTCCTATCACACTCGTGAATACCGTGGCTGCCCCAGATACCGTCGGACTCGGTGATATCTCACTGGGGTTCACGGAGATGGTAGAGCCCCCGATGACAGTCCACGACGAAGCAACACCGCCAATGATGCTTGTGATGATAGAGGGGGTAGCACTAAGAGTTGGAGATCTAGCGAGGGTTGAACCTCCGATGACCGTCCAAGTTGAGCCAACACCACCAACCACGCTTGTGATTACGCTGAATGCGCCAGTCTCTGTTGCAGATGGAGTCAGAGCAGGCGTTGGAACTGCGCTCCCATTTGACGGATTTCCAACAGTTGTGCCTCCAATCACCGTCCAGGTAGAAGCAACCCCTCCATTGACGCTCGTGATGATGCTAACCTCAGCAGCTTGAGAGGGGCTTGGCGTGGACGTGGGCGAGGTCGAGTTGGGAGAACCGACAAGAGTTGAGCCACCTATCACGGTCCACGTCGAAGCATCCCCATTGATGATGCTCGTGAAGACAGTGAAGGCACCCGGGGTGGTTTCTGGGGTCGGGAGTTGAGTCGGTGTGCTGCTGTTGGCGAAAGGACCGCTGCTGGTGCTTCTGCCGAGCGTAACGACCCAAGTCGATGCCACCCCGCCGACATCACTCGTGATTGTGGTGACTGCAGGTGGAACAATGGGCGTACCGACTGTTATTTGTTGGCTCGGAGCACCAGTAGTGCTAGAAAGCCAAGACAGACTCCAAGAAGACGATCCAGGAGCTCCAGTGATGGTCGTCGTAACCCCGTTGATAACCGAAGTGATTCCCACCATGGACTTTGTAGAACTCGGCTCAGAGGCGCTCCCAAAAATCGTCTTGACTGTCGTGTAGTTCCCGTTGGTAACCGTAATCACTCTTGGCACTGCTGCCGTCGATTCAACCGTCGTCCCAGGTTGCGTGGGCAAACTAACGGTAGAGTCTCCGATCAACGTAACAGTCGACACGAATCCAGATGCAGTCCCACTAGCGTTGCCGGTGATAGTCTTCGTCGTGGAAAGCGGGACAGGCCGACCACCGCTGTCGCCGTCACTCACGGACGAAAGGCTCTGCGCGCTGCTTGGGTTTGGGATCTCGGAGCTGTAGATGTAGATCGTGCTGACTTGCGTTTCTGTGACTTGGACTGTGGCGGTCACCTCGCTCCAACCACACGTCGACGCTGTCTCGGATGGGATAGCTGGGCCGGGGAAGGAATAAGAGTAACCCCCTGCGAAAGTTGCGTGGGCTGTTGGAATGGTATGGGAATCCGAGGCTGCCGTGGCTGATGCTGCGTTAGTTGCTCCGGGATCATCGACTTCAGTAGAGTAATCAGCTGCCGGCGTTGACGTCGAATTTGCGTGGCAAGGTGCCCGAGGTGTTGGGTCGAGACTGAGAAGACAAGAGCACTGTGGCATATTAGTCCTCAATTCTTCACAATCAACAGGGCTTGGCATGGGTAGAGTGCAACTTACCGCTGATGTTACGGATAGGGCGGGATAACTCGTCGGCATAGGATCCGGTAAACTCAGCGTCCCAGTGGCGTCACCAGAGTTCAGGAGCATGGAGCAGTACATCGTCCCGTTGTGCCGCTCCATAGCCCGGAGTAGGTTGTCGCCGTGGCATCCATCTGCCACAGCCATTGCCGCGCCTCCTGCGAGAAGAATGAGAGATGAGACAAACATGATAACGAATGATCTTGGGCTTCAGGCTAAAAAAGTAGAGAAGGCGGCAAGAGCGGTCAGATTAGAAAAGAAAAGAGAGAGTAATTGAGCGAGTGTTGAGGGCGGAGGCTGTCGAGCTTCGTCGGCCTCTGGTCCCGTTGGGCTTTCTCGTCGCCCTTACCTTCAGTATCTCAGCTCCCCCGAGACCTTTATACAGGGTGTAATGAGCTCGGCTCACGATACCTTCACTTATCGCAAACTTGTTCTCTCATGCCGCTATTCCGAGAATAGACCACAATGCCGAGACAGACGCTAGCATTGGACTCCTCACCATTTGGACCCCGGCCCAGTGCCTCGGTGAGAGACTAGGAAACAGCAATAGCAACAACACGAAGCACTATCGCTGTGACGCAATCGCTTCCAGACATTAACGATCAAAGCATCACGGTACCACTGACTAGGTGCCGTCTAACCCCGGGCTCAGCTCCTCCGCGGCGCACCATGGTGACCTCGTGCTGTTCAGCTGCATGCGCGTCCGAGACCGACGCGGTACGCCGTCAAGATCATGCAGGTACCAAACTGACATCGCCGAGCTGCACTACGGCTCGTGTTCAATCACCGTACTTTATCAAGTTTTTGTCTTCGATAGATTTTGATTCGTGTCCACGAGGGTCGATTCAATCGCTCCTTGGATCAGGCTGCTAGAGACTACTATCGTTTCAGCCACTCTCACAGTCAAGGCCGCGATTTCATCTCGTGAGAGTTCAAGAAACACTCTCGGCATGAGTGCCGTTCGCCAAGCGAATATTGCTGACTCACATCTCTATATCAAGCGGAAATTCGACCAAAACCTTGTGTTATCTCCCAGAATGAGACAGAGAAGAGTAAATGAGGGGGACAAGATCACGCACTTGAGGTTCAACAAGACCAAACCAAGAAGCGAAAGGCGACACAAACTAAAGGTAGAGGGGTTCACTCACAGCAATCACGCGCCGAGGCGAAAGATGAGAACTCACTCAAGTCAGACAAGATGTGTAGAACAAAGCCAGAAAAGCCTCCAATTTTCTTTTCAATCATTACATCCATGATGCGCCTCCCCTCGTACAGTCATTATACCGATGACACACAAAGAACCGACCCATGGCCACCCCAAGGGGCCGACAATATTAACAGGCATGATGAACTCAAAACGCGCGCAAAATAGCAATGAACCCATGATTCGTAAGACTCTCCCCTTCTCTCACTTCCCATATTCCATCATCGCGCCATCGTCGTCTGTTGCGTGGCTTGCTGAATCTGGCCTTGGCCATGGCCCTGCACCCGTGTCCGCACGATGTAGTCCTGGTTCTCGATCGTCACGCTCTTCGTCATATGATTCACCTTGTAGACACCAACGAGACGGGCAGCCAGCTCGAACATGTTGTTTCGGAGCGAAATGACAATGAACTGGGCGTTCTTCGTGCGCTCTTTGATGTAGTTGGCAACGATTGAGACCTGAAAGTGACCATGTTAGCAAGGATGAATCGCAACAACTAATGGCGAGGGTAAGAACTTACGTTTCTGAAGTCCAAGGCAGCGTCAATCTCGTCCATGACGTACAGTGGCGTTGGCTTGTAGTGGTGCAGAGCAAAGACAAGCGCCAAACTGCTCAGTGTCTTCTCACCACCAGACAAGTTGCTGATGTTCTTCCACGACTTCTTCGGGGGCATGACACTGAAGAGGATACCTTCGCTGAAGGGGTCCAGGGAGTCGACCAACTCAAGCTCGGCGTTACCACCCATTGTAATCATTTGGTACATCTCCTTGAGGCGGAGAGAGATGGTGCTGAAGCCTTCCATGAAGCCCTCCAGACGCAGGCGACGGAGTTCGTCACAGCGCTTCTTGGCTGCGTCGCGTTGGTCGACGGCGGTCTGAAGGTCGGATGAGCGGGCGGCGTGCTCCTCGACACGGCGACGGTACTCGGCGAGAACACCGAGATCGACGTTGACGTTTTGTGTCTTCTCCTCGAGAGCGGCGATTTCGCCCTTCAGTTTCTCCTTGCTCATGTCCGCAAGCTCATCAGGAGTGTAAACGGGCAGCTCGAGTGCTTGACTGCTTGGTTGAGATGGCAGCTGAGACTCGTCAGACTCTTCCTCATCGTCCTCATCCTCGGCTTCGGCGGATGGCTGGGAGTCCTCGCCAGTGACAGCGTCCTGGGTCACTGTCTTGTCACCATCCGCTTCTGCGTCATCATCTCCTTCAGCAGCTGTCGGGGCAGGGGCGACCTTGGGTGCAGGGTTAGAGGTTCCGGTCAGGTCGTCCACGTTCTGAAGCACCAGCTTAGACAGCTTGTCGTTCCAGTACATGAGTCTCTTTTGGTTCTCAGTCAGGACCTTTTGGTTCTCCTCAAGCTTGTTGCGCATCTCGATCTCGCTGGCCCGAGTAGCATTCAACTCGGCGGTCTTCTCATCGAGCTCGGCCTTGACGGATGTCAGCTCTTGTTTCTTAGCTGCCAAACCCTCCTCGGCCTCGTCGACTTGGCCTCGAAGAGACTCGGCCTTCTCGCCTTGGTTTTCTATCTCATGCTCGAGCTTCTCAAGGTCGCGAATAGCCACCTCAATGTCCTTGGTGGCCTTGGCGTGGTCTCTCTCGAGCTTCGTCTTTTGCTTCTCGGCCTTGACCTTGCGAACTTCGGCGTTGGATGTCTCCTCGTTTTGAGAGACAATCTCCTCTTTCAAAGAGTCGACGTTGGCTTTTTGCAGGCGAAGCTTCTCACCACCAACCTGCATGATCTTGTCTTGCAAAGCCTTGATCTCTTCCTCAACTCCAGATGTCTCGTCGTGGAGCTTCTCAACCTCCTTGTTGAGCTTAGCAATTTCCTTGCGAAGAGCCGCAATGCGGTTATTATCCGAGGCGGAGGGTTGGTGCTCCTTGCTCAACTCCTTGATGCGACGATGGGCATCGGCCAAGTTCCTAGCCGCGCTGTCGATCTCAAGAGTGATCTTCTGCATCTTGGTGTCGAGCATAGGGATCTGATCATTGAGTTCGCGGACTCTTGTCTCAAGCTCGCGCTGCTGCTCCTGGAAGTCTTGAAACTTCTCCTCGAGAACATCGCGATCTTCCTCAAGCTTCGAGACCTGTTCCTTGGAAGTCTCGGCAACAAGCTTCGAAGACATCAGACCTCGCTTGACAGTTGTACCACCACCAGACATGGTACCAGACTTGTCAATCAGCTCGCCGGCCAAGGTAACCACGCGCCATCTCCTGGCACCGTAAGCGATTCTGTTGGCCTGAGCCAGGTCGTTGGCCACAAGGGTATCTTGAAGGGCGTGGTAGAATGCTGGGCGGAACCTCTCCTCCTTGGGGTTGACTAGGTCAAAGAGGCGAGGCGCATTTTCGGGGGTTTGGATGGCATTCATGTCTCGAACTCTCAGTTTGTCCAAACACATAAAGTTACCACGACCCAAGTTGGTCTTGCGAAGGTACTCAATGCATTGCTGACCAGCTTCGACGGTGTCGGTGACAAAGTTGTCGAGGGCACCGCAGGCCGTGGAAATGGCCACATCGTACTTTTGGTCAATTGCGCCGAGGTTGCCGAGTCTTCCGTGGAACCCGTCGATACGACCGGACTCGCGCATGCGCATCAGAGCGGTGAGAACGTTGCCCTGAGTCTGCGTCTTAGACAAACTTGAGCGAGCCTCGTCCGCCTTCTGTCTGGCGTTAGACACCTTTGCGCGAATCTTGGGTTCGTGGGCATTGAATCGTGTCAACTCGTGCTCAGCCTCCTTTCTCTCTTCCTCCAGCTTGGCCTTCTCGGCCTGGCACTCTTTGAGCTCCTCAGTCTTGGCAGCGCGAGCATCCTCAATGGCAGCAATCTTTGCCTCCGTTTCAGAAATGGCCACAGCACCAGCGTTGGCCTTCTCCTCGAGGATGTTCATCTCGCTCTCTGCAACAGCGATGGCTGATTGCTTCTGGTTGATCTTCTCCTTCCAGGGCTCCAATGACTTTTGCTTGACTGCAATCTGGTCGGAGAACTTTTGAGTCTTGCCCTTGAGGCCCTCACGAATAGTCGCGAGCTCCGCCTCCTCTTCTTGCACTCTGATTTCGAGTGATGCGATTTCTTGTGCGCGGGTCTCAATCTCCTCCGCGCATTGGGCGATGGTCTCGTCTGCTTCAGTAGCGGACTTTTCGGCGTTGGCGATGGTCTTGTCCAGCTTCTTCTGCTTGTCGTTGAGGAACTTCTTCTTCTCGTCAAACTTGACGCGCTCTTGCTCAAACTTGGCCATCTCCTTAACAAGAGCCTCGGTTTCTTTCGCTTGCGCCTCAAACTCCTTGCTTCCACGAGAGTATGACTTCTGGAGCTCCTTGATGACCTTTTCGCCGCCATGATGCTTCTCCAACTCATCGTCGAGCTGCGCCTGCATCTGACTGATTGCTTCCTCAGTAACAGCAACGTTGTCGTTGCACTCGCCAATGTAGAGTTGGTACAGCGCAGACTTCTTTGTTGTGAGCTCGTTCTCGTCGCGGATGTATGCAATAGCCTTGTTCTTCTTGTCTTCGAGGCCGTTCTTCTCCTTCTCAACGTGTTGAACGCGACCACTCTTCTCCATGCAGATTTCATTGAGAGTCTCAACCTCGGTGGCGGATTCCTCAATAGGCGTCTTGTACTTTGAAGTGCCGATGATGTCCTCCAGGTATTCGAGAAGACCGTCGTCATGTTCGTTGGCAGCCTTCGGCTTCATCTGGGCGATGGACTCGACCTCACCCTGCAGAATCAGGAAACGTTTGTGGTCAAGGTCGATGCCGCGGTCGCGAAGGAGGGTGGTGACTGTGGTGAAGTTGGAGGCTTTGCCGTTGATGTAGTATGTGCTAGAGTTGTTCTTGAAGGCTTTGCGGGAAATGATGAGATCGGAATCGGGAATGACTTCATGTCCACCACCGGGCTACGTATGGTTAGCGACTATTCGCGCGAAACATTTGGCGCAACTAACCTGATCCATGACTTCTCTGAAGTGCACAGAGACCTCGCAATGGTCCAAATTCGGGTGCTGGGCTGAATTGTGAATCAAGGCAGAAAGCTTGCCCTGACGCATCTTGCTTGCACGGAAGCCAAAGACGAACAAGAGGGAGTCAATAACGTTGGACTTTCCAGAACCGTTAGGGCCAACAACGGAGGAGAATGATCCATGGAAAGGACCGACTTCCTGACGACCAGCATAACTCTTGAAGTTGGTAAGAATCAGGTAGGAGATGACCAGGCGAGGCTTGGGAGTTGTGTCCTCGACCACCGGCACGGTCAGGGTGCGCGACTTCAAGACAATGTCCATCGGCTTCTCCATGACGGTGTCCATCGCGCGTACAGGCTTGAAGGTGGCCTGCGTCTCGTCTGCAACCGGTCTCTGCTCGTTGACTGAAGAAGCTGTGATGTCGGCGAGAGGCTCTGCATGGACCCGGGAGGGCTCGGGAGTAGCGGATGGCTTGCGTATGGATGCTGGTGTCGCAGACTTGGTGGAAGCTCTAGGCGCAGCGCTCATCCTGGGCTTTCTGGGAGACGGCTTTCTTGCTGAGGATGGCGGCTCTTTCTTGCTAATAGTTTGGTCGGGGTCGAAGATTTCGCTAGGCTCTATTGAGGGAGCGATGTCATGCGCCGAGGGGTCTTCGGCAATGGATGTCTCGTCCGCCATCGATGGTTCCTCCACTGCTGAAGGCGCCTCTGCGATGGACGTTACATCTGCAACCGAAGCATCCTCCTCAAGCTTCGTGGCCTCCTCGGCCACGGTAGTGTCGGCATTCTTCTTAGGTCTGCCGCGGCGGCGAGGCGCTGTTGGAGCAGGCGTTGATGAGGGGGCAGCGCTCTTGCGGGCGCGTGTTGGTCGGCGCACTGGGCTTTTTGATGGTTCGGGGGCGAACTCTTCCTCGCTCTCTTCCTCTCTCTTTACGGTGGTGTTTGCGATCTCATCGTCGTCGGATGAGTCGACGATGGCCTGGCGGCGCGTCGCACGGCGTGGGCGGGCCGACATTATGCTTGTGGTAAGGTTGTAGGTTAGTCGTGTGTGAAGCGAATGAACGCAAAGGCAAAATTGCGTGGGGTATCTCAATCAAGGTGACAAGAAGCCAAGCAAGAATGAAAAAGAAAACGCAGCAGGCGCAAAGTGGTGCTGCGGTAATAGAATCTGGTGATGTCGGATGCGAAAAGGGAAAAGGGAAAACGCAATTGTGTTGTTTGCTCCCACACTTTCCCCCACTTTGATTTGTTTGAATCGCTCACCGATTAGGTCGATTGTAAACAAAAAGCCCACACCGCCCGCCCCCACCCGCCACAAGGCTGCGGAGACACGTCAAGTCGCGACTGTGGCTGGTGCTTCGTATCTTCCGAAGTGTGGCTGAAGCTCTTCATCGATCTTTGCCCGGCGCAAAGCCGTCGCATTTCATCCCGCCAACTCAAAAAAAGACGACCAAAACACTCCGCCTAAACTGACAGCAAGCTTGTGGTCTCCAGTATCCTACAGAGGCATCGCTGATCCACCACACCTCAAGATGTTCGACTACACCAACTTCGATCACGTCTTTGGGGCGGAGCAGTTCCCTTACGATCGCAAGTCCGTTCAGGAAATCGACACCTACCGCAAGAGCCTCGATGGCGCCCTCTTCATCGACCGGGTCCTGAAAGCCTTGGGTCTCACCAAGTGTATGCTTCCTCCCAGTCGCCTCGAGATCCTCTATGACTGACGTTGGAAATCAGCCAAGACATACCCTCCCAAAACCGAGAATGCTCTGCGCACACTACACCAGCAACTATGCGAAGCCACCATGTCAACGCACCACCGACTCTCGATCTTCTACTACATCCTGCTCGACTTTGACACGAGCCAGACTAGATCCCAGGCATCGTCAAAGTTCGCCGTCACGTCCGGTGTTCCCAAGAACTATCAGATCTTCATGAAGGGTCTTTGGCTTCTGGATCATCAACAATTCGAGGTAGGCGCCTCTGACCAAACTATTGTCACTGGGCAACACTTCACTTACTAATTACTCGAACTACCAACAGAAAGCACTCGAGTATATTGCGCACCCTTCCCTAACTACCGACTTTGCCGATGAGATCATGACAGCGCTTGTGCGCAATGCTCCCGACGGCGACTACACCCTGCCTCTCTCATACTTCCACACTGTCCAGCCAATTCTCAAGACATCCGAGGCTCTCGAGCTTCTCTTCGACGCCATGTCAAGAACTAGCGTCACCGAAGCCCTCTACTTTTCCAGAACCCACGCCGATGCTGTCAGGGCACAGCTGTTCCGCCAGCTTGTCTCCAACGTGATTGGCGCTCCTGCGAACGAAGAGACAGCCGCAAGGTCAACTGAGCTTATTGGGTTGCCCTTTGATGCGGCAGAGGAGGCCTGGTTCGAGGACTTCCTTTCTCGTGAAGACGGAAAGAAGCTGAAGAGAGCGCGAGACACACTCCTCGTGAGAAAGCTGGTGACGGGTAGGCTAAGTGAAGCTGTGCAAGACAAGAATCATGGAGGTGGCTGGGGAGTGGTACTAGAAGGTGTTAAGAGCGGCCTAGGAGGCCGAGCAGAGTGATTACATTTCTAACTTCTGAGATATTGACGGGTGTTCTATCCCACGACGGGGACGAGTGGTTGATTTCAGCATAGCGATGGCGTTCGGGCAATGCCCTCAAATTATACCTGGAATATCAAGTGAGACTGAAAAAAGGACTGGTCTTCATAAAGTTCACAGTTCAAAACCTAATGACTTGGCAAAGCGAGTTACTCCCGCGTCGGCGTCCTGCCATGCATTTGTTGAATTGTGACTGTTCACCTCGGTGACGCCAAGGTGTGATGGTTCCACCGAGATTACACCGAGAAATCCCGCGTCTGACTAAGCTCCGCGTCGAGTCACACCTTGCAGGTCACCCCCCGGCCGCCCGCACCGCCCGCCCACACCATGGAGTCCAGTCACTTTAGCTGCGTCAACTGCTTCCGCCGCCTTACACCAAATCACCCGTCCTTCACCGTCTCTCATCTCGCGCGTTACAACTCACTTTTCATTCCCCCCTCGTGACGGCGATCTGCGGTGATGATGCTTCGCTCGCTTAACACCTCTCCATCTCTTGTTCCGTTCGGAGTCACCATTGCGTCGGGACGATGAGCAACCCCGCTAAAGGCGTCAAATTTGTCGGCTCCGACTCTTCGGGGCTTCCCTTGAAGCGGAAGCAGGTTCTGCAGGCCTGCGAATCATGTCGCAGAAAGAAGGTCCGCTCAAACCAAAAACGATTCCACTCGACTAAGACGCATTTCTTCTTACATGACAATTATAGAAACGCTGCATCCACGGGGAACCTCCGCCGTTGGAGCCCGCCCATGACGGGTGTGCGGGTTCTTCGCCGCCGGACAACGCTGGGTTGGTTTCCTAATCAGGCAACTTTGATGATCACCTTTGGCTGACTGAACCCTTTCTTCCCAGACAACATGTCATCGCCGGCACTGGTTCGCCAAGCAAACATCGTCACTCGGCGTCTGTGACCGCTGATGCCGTGCTGTCCACGACCCCTGTTCGCCGTGAATCTGCCACGGCGGGCCATTCGGAGCCAGCGCAGACTCCACAGACGCGCTTCGTTGGCGATCTTAACCCGGAGGGCATGTTCGCCGAGGCCGCCGACTCAGATCCGGCCGCTAACCCTACGCAGAAGGCCGAGGTGGGTGTCTGGCTTCCGTCACTCAACGCCGCTTCGGCACAGTCGACCACCTCCGTTGTCTCGCGTCCGTCGGCTATTATCGACAAGGTCTTGCTGCCTTATGTGAAGCAGAATTGTCTCACCTGTGTCCCGCCGGAGAAGGACTACAAACATCTCCACAAGGTGTACCGAGACAAAATCCATCCTATTTTCGGCCTTATCCCAGACGAGGCTTTGGATGATGGCGATTCCCCAGCAGCTATTGTCATGCGACAAGTGGTATGCCTCGCCGCTGCCACTGACCCTGACATGAAGAGCCACTTGCGCCTCGCTACGCAGGGGAATAAGAGGCTCTCGTACCAAGACTTCTCCCAGACATTGTCTAGCTCTATACGGGCCATCCTGGATACGAGCTTGATCTCGGACCGGACGATACACATACGTGCCTTGTGCATGCTATCACTGTATGCCCAGCCTTCAGGTTCTGATGAAGCAGATTTGCCTGCTCAACTTGGCGCCAGGGCCGCGCACCATTCGCAGACCCTTGGGCTGCACCTCTTTCACTCCAGCAACGACTCTCTTGATTCCCTTTTCTGCGCTGTTTGGGCACTAGATCGTATCAACGCGGCGACCTACGGAAGACCTTGCGTCCTGCACGAGGGTGACATCGGTCCCGGGCTAGACGACTGTTTCCGCAGACAAGCGCCCTGCTTCCAACTTTTCCTATCGGTCGTGCAGTGGCTGGATAAGGTGATTGAGCTCTATCGTCCGGGTGTTATTGCTCAGTCGCTGGAAGCAAAGCCCTTTATCGATCTACCAGTCCTCGAGCCTATGATCCTCGAAGCCAATGCGTTGCAGGTTCCCACGCCGCTTCTTGGTATGTTCAAGAAGCTCTTCTCTCACCCCATGTCAGTATGTGATACTAACCCTCAAAAGCCACAATAGAGGTCTTCTACCACGCCGTAATCATCCTCTCATGCCGCTTATCCAGACCAGGCCCCCCGGCACAATACGCGTCATCAGTACCACCGCCCTCAGCAAACGCACGACGCTCTCTCGCAGCCGAGCGAATATCCTCCGCCATCCGCCGCGATCACCTCAGCCCAGTCCCACTTGTCCCATACGCCCTCTCCCTAGCCCTCAGCGTCGAGTACCGCAAAATGCGACACAGCGCCCTTCCCATGTTCCGTGCCCGCGCCCGCAGTGCCTTCAAATCCAACTCGGAGCTGATGAAGAGATTCGGCGACGTCTTTTGGAGCGCACGAGTCGTCGCGGGACTGGGCGAGCGTATCCTGCGAGAAATGGAGCGAGCCGCAAACTCCATTGCTCAAGAAGGGGGTGCGGCTTTGCCAGCTACCGCTATTGTCGATGTACCTGTGAATGGTAAAGTCGACGAGCCTTTGGTGGTTGACGGGGCACCGGCCGAGCCGCCGTCGGCTCCCTTGGCTCCTACGTCAACCGCCGAGCTCCCGGCGCTGGAAGCGATTGACTTTTCGATTGTCGATGCGATGCCGCATCTAGATGTCTTTGGCCACTTCGATCCGAGCTTCAACCTATCGGCAGTCGATAACGCTTTGGAGGCTAACCTCGATATAGGGCTGCCCCTCAACTGGGGTGAGTGGGATCAATTTGCTGGTTGAAGATTCCTCTCCACGTACCGATTCGAATGATTCCTTCTACCACACCAAGATCCAGGATTTCCCACGCCTCAGATGCATTGATGGCACAACGTTTGGCTGAGATATCCAGGCTATCGCCGGACTATCAGTCACGGCATGTTGTGGTGATTACCTAGCCCAATGACATCTTATACCCATTAACTCCCGCGTCCGTGGACCGCGTTACAAGCTCACTCTACCGACTTGAACGCTGCGTTGCTATATCACAGCAAACCAAAGGTCTAGGGGTTTTGCAGGATATGCATGGCTACTGATATCCTCCTCAAGAGGTTGGCGCACTAAAACCGCCGGAGAAACTCGAGTTGCCCAGGAAGCATCGATGTGGTTTACATGTGTTCAAGACACGAAGTCTATGCAACCGTCAAGAACTTCAGTCCTTGAAATGTGGGAACAGTCTCATATACCAAGGACAATGCGGATGGCAAAATAGAATATCAAAGTTGTTCCGTAGAATTCAATACCATACGATATCTGCCCTTGCATATTAAGTGTGGTAAAATCGTACAAGCCACATCCACCAAACGATTTGCATCGTGAGGCTCCATCGAATCAAACTTTCTTTGCGTCATAATTAATGACAGCAAGAGAACTAGATCGTGATTCGAAAGAAACAAAAATGAACTGTCTGTGGCATTATGTAGGACCACCAATTTTTGTGGGTACACTTGTCCTGGAACTCACAACCCTTTCGGGATCCATTACGCTTTACCAGTCCGCCACTAGGTCATGGACACTTCAGACGCTGCTCATGCCTTTTCTCGCAATTCTGCTGCCCGAGTATGCTCGCGGCGGGAGGTTTGCGAAAATGTTGTGAATATTCCCATGAAGGCACGTACTCTAGCAGGAATACGCAGACGCGCTTCGACCAATGAGCGGCTAAATGCATGATGCTTCCATGTCGATGACTAATCTTTTACGATCTCCACTTTATTTTACCGATGGTCCGGTCGCCACCCTTTGCTGACCACCGGGAAAGCTTCAAAGCTCCACGAGGATTATCAATCGGCCAACTGTCGCACAAAGAGCGAGTCCCTCTCGCAACCTCATCCATGAGCCTCTCGTATTGAATATCGCGTTGAATATGGCTCCGCCTTTGAACTTGCTGATCCGCGCCCTCGTGGCCTTCGAGGATGTGATTATCCGCCAAGTATGCGACTCCCTCCATCCTCCCCGCCCTACGCAGCAAGCTAACCTCGAATGTCAATCTACAGATCCTTCGAAGTCCTGGCTTCCACCGCGGCGTCGGTCGAATCCACCGATACGTCGACGAGAAGTGGAATGGGCCTATGCCACATGAGCCGCTGCGCCAAGGACAGGCGACTGGTACGTTCGAACTTGAGAGTCACGCTGGGACTTGGTTGAAGAGAGGTAACTGACGTGCTGAGTTATAGCGAATCCTGAAGACCGAGGCTTTTTGCAATATTTTATCGAGGAGCTGAAAAATCAGTTCCGGGGAACGACAAATCCGCCCCCGCCGGGACCGCCGAAGCGATGAATGAATCCATTTCAGAGAGCATACACTGCCGCGAGTTGGAAATATCTTCCGAGACAGAAGTGCATACTGTAATCTGGTCTGGTTTGGCGTCTGCGTGCAGGCCAGATTAGTGCCGGCATCACGCTATCAAAAAGCTACCAGACGAAGTCTCCGAAGCGAAGCATACAGCGATGCCTATGCGTTTCATTAATTGGGCCGTAGAAGCGGCCCGGAACTCTACTCAACAACCACCTATTACGATACACTGGCCTTAGGATTGCCAGCGATATTGGGACACCCATCTTTTGGGATTACTGGGAGAGCATCACGCCGAGCCCGCGAGGTGCCGTCAGTTTCTACCCAAAGAGGTGGGTCAACATGATGGCTTGAGGTTGGCAGACTATAAGGTGTTCATCGCGCCAGCTCATGAGGGCTGAAGAAAGGGTAGGAGAACAGCTGCCCGCTGTGTGCTCAGATCACAACGGCTCGGCGCTTTCGGTGCGGGGCCGGCAAGTCGGGTCGATCAGCGTGCCGGGAGCCATGTACAAAACATGAGCTGCAGAGCGCATTCGTCTAATGTTAACGAACTGCACTCCTTGACTCGGAAGAAACCGAGCAGCTCGCAGATATCCCCTCCCCTCCTAGGCGAATAATTGCCTTTTGGAGATACGTAGTAGCGAATAGCATGATGATCCGAAGAAAGGGAACAAGCTTTCCAGATCCGGGGCCCCTTCAATCTCTCCGTCCCCATATTGTGAATCAAGCAAGTAGGCGACAACGGTCAAGGGTTGAACACGTCAAACCAATTAAGCATCTCAATACCCGCCCGCTTCGAAACAAGCGTAAATTGACTCCAACCGGCGACTGCCATCTGCGTAGCCCTGGCCCTGGCCTCTGATTGAGGGGTAAGTCGGAGAACGGAGGCAAGCAAGCAAAGTTGCCTCTTTCGGCCAGCGGTAGTCTACGTGATACAACCCTCCTTGGTGTCGTGATATTTCCTCTTCGGGCACTCTGAGAGCGACACTCCGCCCTCAAAAGAGAATGGTCTTCTCCCATATGCTGCAAACGGGCCCTTTCTGCATCTCACGTACCTTCCATCTTCTTGTTTCGGAGCAACTTCCGCTCTCTTCGCCGCCACCATTGCAGCTTTCAGCTCATTGCATTCGTTAAGATCACGATCATGATCGCGTGGGATTTTCCACCAAGCGCAGTGATGCGTGTTTTGGCAGTTGGCCTGGCCTTGTAAGTCAATTTTGGTCCGTGATGATGAGTGGTTTTCTTGTATGTTTGATTGCGAACGGGAGGCAAGTGCTCCAGCATTTCATGTAAAACCTGCCAGGCTCCCTCGAGACAATCCTGAGGGTGCGTTTTTTCGAGATTCTGTGAGCGTGACAACCCCATATCTTCATCTCTCGCGATGAGATCAGACATCAGCCTCGCCGTGCTAGTGGTACTGGCCCAGACAACCTCCGCCCAACAAACGCCGTACGGCCAATGCGGTGGTAGCGGCTGGACGGGACCGACGACATGTACAGCCGGATGGCACTGTGAAAAGGCAAACGAGTGTAAGTCTCTGCCCGAGTCCCTCATGAACAACATCTAATTCCAGTGCCAGGGTACTCACAGTGTCTCGAGGGATCTGGCTCCTCGCCAACCACTCTTCTTACGTCAACTTCGAAGCCCCCTGCTGGAACAACTACAACTTCACGCGCGACAAGCTCATCTCAGTTAACAAGCTCTATTAGATCTTCGTCTGCCAGCGCAGCGCCCACGGCTTGTTCTGGTTCTTTCAGCGACATCTCTGGGGCGGATTATGTCAAGGCTATGACCCCGGGGTGGAACCTGGGCAACACTCTTGATGCTATCCCTAACGAGGGATCTTGGAACAACCCACCTGTTGTCGAAAAGACGTTCGATGATGTTAAGGCTGCCGGTTTCAAGAGCGTTCGTATCCCGGGTGAGTCTATATCCATATCTAATATGTGTCACCATCGATATTGACGGTACGGCAGTCACCTACAATGATCACTTCACCAGCGCAGCGCCCAACTACACCGTTGACGCGGCATGGTTGCAACGTGTTTCGGATGTAGTTGACATGGCCACTGCCCGGGGCCTTTACGTTCTCACAAACGTCCATCACGGTAAGAATGCCCAGTCTGGTCCATCTGTTGTCTTGATGTGCTCACACAACATTAACAGACTCCTGGAACTGGGCCGACGTGACAAAAGCGACCTCAGATGCAGACATCCAAGCCCTAAATGACAAATTCTACAATCTCTGGCTCCAAATCGGCCGCAAGCTCGCCTGCAAGCCCAACCTCGTCTCCTTCGAACCCATCAACGAACCCCCCGCCACAACAGCCGACCACGGCGCCCGCATAAACACCCTCAACGACCTCTTCCTCAAAGCCCTCGCCGACGGCGGCGGCTTCAACACGCGCCGCGTCGTCAACCTCGTCGGCGGCGGCATGGACGCCACCAAGACGACGCAGTGGTTCAAGGCGCCCGCGAGCATCAACAACCCATGGGTGCTGCATTACCACGTCTACAGCCCGTACGACTTCATCTTCTCCGCGTGGGGCAAGACGATTTGGGGCTCGGACGCGGATAAGGCTGCCATGAGAAACGAGATGGCGATTGTGAGGGGGAATTTCTCGGATGTGCCGCTGGTGATTGGGGAGTTTGACGCGAGTCCGCTGAATACTGAGCCTGCTGCAAGGTGGAAGTGGACGGATCAGTTTGTGAGGACGGCGGCGGAGTTGAATACTGCTGTTGTGATTTGGGATAATGGGTTGGATCACCTTGATCGCAGTGCCCATGCCTGGCGAGACCCGACTTCGCTCGCCATTCTGAATACCGCCGTCAAGGGGGTGAAGAATTCCTTGCCGGATAGCACTACAGATGCATCAGCCACGACGCAGTCATCATCCGCATACATCTGGAACAAGGTTGGCACTGCGCCGGCGGATCAGACTCTCCCCTGGTTGTTCAACGGCAACACGTTGCAATCAGTGAAGACCAACACTGGAACCACGTTGGCTGCGAATACGGATTACACCGCATCGGCATCCTCAATAACCTTCAAGGCCGCCTTTTTGTCAAAGTATTTGAGTGCCACTGCTGCACCGGGGAGCAAGGCGAACCTGACCTTGACGTTCTCCGCGGGAGCGACGTCGCAGGTCGAAATTGTGCAGTGGGATGTCCCGGTGGCGAGTGCGACGAGCTCCACGGCCGTTGCGGGAGCCGACTTGAAGATCCCCGTCACGTGCAAGGGACTCAAGACGGTTGCTGCTGTTAAGGCTTTGCGGAGTGATGGGGTTTACTTGTTTGATGACTGGACGCAGTATCTTGGACCGTTGCAGCAGGCTCATATCGTAAGTCATCCTTTCCAAACGGATTCTGAAAACCATGGTTCCTTTGGGTCGGGCTATAGAAGAGCCCGTACTGACATTGAAAATAGACTTTCAACGGGCAGTGGAACTTTGACGGCGGCAACATCATCCTACCTTCTGCTACGGTTCAGGCCGTTATTTCCGCTGGGAAGGCGACAACGTTTACTTTTGAGTTTTACCCGAGGGTTCCTGGGAACAACCTAACTTATACTTTGAACCCATGAGTAGTTGTTCTGGAGCGAAGCTGTTTTCTTGGCTATGAGCTTCGAGCAAATCAGTATTGATGAAAAGCTCGGGCTTGTCAAGTGTGGTTCCGTCTTCTTCGTAGATGTTCTTTAACTTATTACATTCTCTGTAAATAGGTAGTTGACACCAATTTACAAGCTCAAGAGTACATACATAGGGCAAGGGTGTATCTGATCAGTTGTAATACGGATATGTATGATATCACTACTATTCATCCCGTCTGTAGGTGGCTCTGTATATAGCGATACTCTACTACATTGGTAGTCTGCCGTTATCCAAGGCCATAGGTTTCGTCAATCCAGAGCCCGGGCTATGTAGTCAGGTCATTGTCGTAATTCTCCAGTTTCCAGACATACAAAGCTAGGTGAGTGTTCCATGACATGCATAACAGTGCGAAGCGAGATCGGTAAGATTGTCGTCTATATATTCGTGCGCTAGAGAATTTCACCTCCGTGCTTTAAATGTTCTTTCTCGTTGCTGTTGTACATTTGCTGAGCTAACACGTTCCCTCCCAAAACTTCTGGGGCACAGATGACTTAACCAAGGGGGAGGTGATATGCCTCGCGGCTGAACACAGTCGCGTCGATGGGATATCATGATCCGATGCCCAAGACCTTTCAGTCTCGGCACAGTGTTCATCCAGCAGCTAGGGAGGAGGGATGTGGCAACGGGTGCCTCGAAGCACTCTGGTGGGACGGCTAGAAAGCAACGTGATGCTTAGGTAGCATGGAATAGGCATCTAGTCGCTGTGAAGCTTTTATCAGTGCATTACGTCGACGGCGAACGGCGAGTTTTGGATTTCCACACCACTTTGAACTTGGTCGATACGTGAAGAAGAACGAGTTGCTGCTCTAAAATCCTACTTACTCAATCCTTAATGATCATCAACTAATGTCTCCAATCCGCCTCTATCCAAACACCGAACTTTACGAAACGAAGCGAGTGACCTCTGGCGGCGAGAAGCCTACCCCATGTCCCTCTTTCAGGAACCCATCATTGGCCGAACAGCCTGCCTATCTTCGGCGTCACATTAGGATGACTCAGTTTGCAAGCCAACTTGGGTACCTGGAGCCGGGTAGTTGACACCAATCAACTCCAACGAGCCAAAGAGGAACTGCGCGTCTGCTACAGGATCTGCAGGAACAACTCGATCACTCGGAGGGGGAACTTCAGATGGCGTCAAAGGTGGGGGGAGAACTAAGCATGCTCGTCCATCGATAGACTGCATGTAGTGAGCATTGATCCCAGGAGTTTGCCAGAACACCATGTTCGGATCATATTTCGACTTGATCATTGACAGCCTAGCGTAGTTGGCACCCCAAAAGGATTGGGTCCAGTTCTTTTCCGCGACGCTTGCCTGCACAAGTAAAGTTAGTTACAGTCACTCCGTTGTTGGACTTAGCATACCTCATTGATGTAGGCACCCATGTCTGGAGCAAGGGTTCGCAGTCCGCTGGCGCTTGGTCCATCAACGAGGTGAACCACCGCTCTCCTCCACCCCGGATTCGCCGAGGTGTCTTCGCCAGAGCCTTGCGATGAACCCGGTGCAGTCATGAGTACTCCATAAGTCCCAATGCCCCCCTTCAACGCGTTTATGATGCTTGGATCTCGAAGATGCTCAGGGGCTAGGAGGCGGCTGTCGTATGGGTATATTCCGTGATTTCTTGGCTGGGGTTTCGGACCCGTTTCGAGAATGAGAGGTCCGTATGTCGTATCGAAGAAATCCCTATAGTTGTCGAAGTTGTAAGGCTTAGTTTGAAATGGCGTCATGTCGGGATATGATTGCATTTTGGAAAGGATTGGTCCCCAGACGGCATTAGCGTTGGCGATTCCGGAGGCATTCCCGGGATGGACGGCGTAGCACCTGACGGAGCTAACATCGACGTAAATAAAAGCGCTGATGCCCTTTTCTTGTAGTCTGGGCAACTCTCCGAATAGATATTGCATGGCGTCGCTGACTGGCGTACTTCCGGTCTCCGAGTCGAACACATCCGAACCTGTGATCGTCGAGTTGATGTACCAATTGTACCCAGTCATGGGAATATCAGCGTGTGCCTTCCAGGTGGCTTCGACAACTACACCAAAGGTCCCTCCGCCACCTCCACGAATGGCCCAGAAAAGGTCCTGATTACACACTCTGTTTGCGATCCTGAGCTCCCCATCTGGAGTCACAATCTTTGCTTCAAGCCACTGGTCAACCCCGAGACCATACTGCGCAGTTAATGGGCCGTAGCCGCCGTTCTGTCCCCATCCCCCGGAGACAGCCACCCCAGCTGCAATTGCCTTAGTTCTCAAGAAAACATTGTCCACGGGAAGCTTTCTTACCGGCTGCACCACTGACTGTGAAGAGTCCTGAGGGAGACACTGCGTAGTTGAGAGCCAGTCCGGTAACACCAGGCTGAAATGTGACAGCAGCTTGCACGCGCTGCTGGGGATTGATCACATTCGGCGCGTCGATAGAGTACTCAGGACTGGCAGCACCATCCATAGTTGGAGTAAACGAGTCGAGAACGTTGACCTTGTTCATGAGGGATAAGTCAATAATAAGGCCAGATCCAGCATCGCTCCGGCCTAACTGATCGTGACCGGTGGTGATGACCGAAAGGCGAATGTTATGCTTCGAAGCGAATCTTACTGCTTCCTGGACAATAGATGCGTTCTCAGCTCGCACACGGTAATCAGGAAGCCTGCCATGGGCGTCACTACCATTCTGCCGGATGACGCCTGGAATGGCGGCTTCCCAAACCTCAGGAGCAGGCCAGTCGTGATCTGTACTCAGCTTCCGGCATCCTACTGGGGCTACAGTGGAGGAGACAGCACCAAAAACAAGTACCGATAGGTAAGTAACGAAGCAAGGAAGAAGTTTTGCCTTCATGATGAGGGAAATCCAAATGAGACTCAAATGTCGATAAGTGATAATGAAAGCTAAAAGCGGGAAATCAACGTTCCTTATCTACTCAACTGTAGAGACAATCCCGAAGTTACCGGCAAAGCCTCGAAACATCTAACGCAGTATTTACAACACTTTGAACTTTGCCAAGGAATTCCATGGCTATGTCTCCCATGAATTATAACGATTGGGATTCTCGACACATTAGCAGCGTGCATCGCTGAACAGGGGTCTACCTCTACACTCGGCTTGTATGTACAAAATAGCGAGCCCTAGGACTAGAACGCCAGTTATATCCACATTAGCAAAGACATATCTGGGTATCATACGGGTAGCTTGGCTATGAAAGCGTTGGTAAAAAATTTATGTATATATTGTTAGGCTTCCGAATAGTTTTCCGCGCGCTATGGACGCCGCGCGCGGTGTTCCAACCCTGAACAATGCTATGGTCCAACTCCCAACCCTAGACCGTAAGAATAATACCCATGCAAGTCCCTCGTCTTGTAGGACATCAGCCACTTGAATCCACTTCGCTAAACTATACCTCGTATTTCGTGTTCGTTATCCCGTATCGTATTCGCTTTCGCCATACAGGCGGTTCGAAATGGATCCCTGACAATTATTCCTTGCGCCGGCTGGCAGGTTAAAATCAACGTCAGCCGACGATTAGCGGTCTAGGCGCTGCGATTGTCGCTTTAACTCCAAAGTAGGTAAGAACTGGAAAGTAATTACTACGAGTCGATGGATGCTAACAGCATGTTATGACCGAACATGCATAGCCAAGGCCGGGGATGCCCCACAGGCTTGCGGCGGCTACAGTGCGGACTCGCAACATTACCAACTTCTCCTCATCCAGCAATTCCGTTCCAAACACAGCATCTCACTCTCTCACCGGGCCCTATCCCAAAACGGAAGGTAAACATGAACGGCGCGAAGCCATGTCGGGCGCCTTTACCGCGAGAGTTGCATCTTCAGATCTTAAAGCATGTCGCAAATGCCCACGGCTCACCGACCTCGCCCAGTCGCGGCATAGCAGGCTACGCCAGCGTATCCAATGATTGGCAAGATTACTTCGAGAGTCCAATATACAAGAACTTCATTCTGCGGCTGCAAGACCTCATTCCATTCAGGGAGCACATACAAAGCCCCAGGAGGCGCCGCTATGTCCGGCACATCTGGCTTCGCCTTGAGGAGCCTCAGCTCGAAGAGGATGGCCCGGCTTTACCGTGGAATCAATCATGGAGCCCATTTGCTACAGCTGCGCTGTATCTATGGAAACCTCTGGCGTCATGGGAAGTTGACCAGGCCGGAGAAGGATTAACGCTCTAGATAAGCTCCCATACACTGGCGGGGCTCATCAGATATAACAATCATACGCCAAAGGACGACATCGATCACTATTCGAGTATCTTGAGACCGAGTCTCTTGCGTCGCATGACGAGACTGAACCCTTCAGTCACACGAGCCTACTCTGGATTGCCCATATGGGTCAAGGTCAAAGTATCTCGATGCATTCCAGAGCTATCAAGGCCCTTTATTCGTACGATGTCAAGCTTAGCCGTGTACGGTTACCGTTCGTGCAAGTCGTTACCAAGTTTCTTCTGCGGAGGGCAAATACACGCAACCAGTGACCGGATTCTTTGGATCAAACCATCAAGAGTCTTCCTCGCTTAATGAATATTCATTTTGAGAGGTGGCGGCTTTGCAGCGTAGGAGCGGAGAGACGCTGGCTTAAGGTAGGAGGTCTTCTCTACGAATGCCATCTCCGCCGATCTCTTCTTCTGTTTTCATAGGATGACTAATGGTTCATGATTACATCTAGGCCTCAGTGATATGTGCCGGCACGGCCTTCCACCTTCGCTGAAGAAGTTTGCAATCTTGCACGGAGGATCCAGCACCCCCTACTTTGCGCGTGTCTTCTATAGAGGAGTTGAAGTAGAAGAACTAGTAAGCTCCATGGTGCAAGTTGTCTTCTTATAGAACACTTGTCTTCTCGTGGAACACTTGGCGCTCTGCTTTATCGTTGATGCCGATTGATTCCCGAACAACGTACCTAACTTTCTATCATAATAGCTTCAACTATCTATAGCCTTACCGTACGTCACATAACCTCGGTTATATAATTACTAAGGCCTACTTTACTTATACTTTTTATATTAAAACGAGCTTTATATTTATTTTTTATTTTTAATAAATAACCGTTCTCTTTATATATATTAATACCCCTATAATAACTCTATAATAATTATAAGCTTAGTTTTAACTTAGACCCTTATATTTTTATTAAAAAATTATTTTTTAAAAACTACGATTTATTATATCCTTTCTTATAATATTATTTAATTTTTATTATAGTTATTAAGCTTAATCCTAAACGAACTAATATTTTTTAAAAAAATTATTAATATTCCTAAATAAAAGCTTAATTATTAATAAAACTAATTAAAATAGTACTTCGCTTTATAAATTAAGGCCCGGTTAAAAAATATTTAGGACTTTTTAAACTTAAATAATTATACTTTTTTATTAAATCCGTTACTTTTTATAAAATCTATTTTTTTAATCGAGGAGTACGTTAAGATACGAAATACTATTTAAAATTAAGTATATAAAAGGGCCTTAACTAAATATTAATAAAAACTCGAGGAGTTTATTTAATAATAAACTAAATAGCTAAAAAGTAAAACTATAGTTAAACCCTTAACTAAAAACGATCGAATTAAATAACTAATTATTTTAATAAAACTAAAAGTTATAATAATAAACTAAATACGTTTTATTAAAAAATATACCTCTTTTATTTAATAAATTATATTTAAAACGATTTTTTATTTTTAAAAAAAGAGATTATATAAATTAATAAATCGCTAGATCTCCCTTATAATTATTTAAAAAAATTTAGAAAATATAAAAAAAGAACTTATTAATTTCTTAAACTATTCTTTTTATACTATAATCTAAGTTTTTAAATAAAAGTATATATTAAATAACTTTAATTTATTTATAATTATAAAAGAGGAATTTAATATAATTACAAATAGGGTAAACTTTAATATTAACTTATTAACTTAAATTAAAAACTTTTTCTTAGCTTATTATTAAGTAATATAGCTTAAATTATTTAAAGTTTAAAGTACCCTTATTTTAAAAACTTCTTTTTATATAACTACACGTTACTTTACTTTAAATTAGTTTAATTAAAAGCTTATTAATATTATTAAATTAGAATAAAAAAAAGAAGCGATTCTTAATATAGGGTATTATACTAAGATTTTTAATAACTTATTATATAAAGAGGTAGTATATAATAAGAATTATAAACGAACCCCTATAATATTCGTAATATTAATAAGTTATTTAAATTCCTTTAAATAAAATAAAATAATTCCTAACTTATTTACTAATTATTTTTATAAAAAGTCTTATTACTAAAAGTTAATAAACTATATAAAAATAGAGCTTATTTTAATAAGTAAAACGAAGTAAGAATGTATTTAACTAGGTAATAACGAAGCTTAAAAAATAATTTCCTATTTAAACTAAAAAAAATATATAAACTTTTATATTAATTTTATTTAAAAGGGCTAGATTTATATAAAACCCCTTTTTAAATAAAATAATAATAACCGAGGTTATTTTAGAAAAATAACTAAAATTAGTAAGCTAAGTAATAAAAAGAACTCTAAGGGGACCTATTTTTTAAATATTATAGTTATAATTATTAACGTCGGTTTACTCCCTAAGCTAAGTATAGAAAGTAATAAAAATAATAATCTTATTATTTTCTTTATCCCCTTTATTAATTTATATTTCTTTTTTAAAAATATAATTATAAATAATTATAATACCGTTTACTTTATTAATAACTAATCGCTTTTAAAACTAAATTCTATTTAATAAAACGATAGCTTAGAGAATATAAACTTTAGAACGGTATTTTATTTTATTATTATTAAGGGAATAAAGATTATATAAAATATTTTTATAAAATTAAAGGGGCTTAAAATAAAGTACTTTACTTTTTATAATATCGGTTTTATTAAAAACTTTTATATAAACGTCGTATTAAAAGCTCTTTTTTAAAAAATAAGTATTTAGTACTTAGGTTTTAATTATACCCTTTAGTTTGGTAGTAAATTTAAGAACGTTATTATTAAGTAGCTTAAAAAGAAGGTTAATTTAGTCTTTTTAAAATATAAGCCCTATTTATCCTATTTTCTATTTAGAAATTAGTTTTTATTTATTAATATAATTTTAGTATATAGCGCATAATACTTACGTTCTTTATACTAATTAAAGAATAACTAATTAAATATAGCCTAGCTCTAATATTTTAAATCTAAATATTTCGTACTAATAATACTTAAAAAGCTCGTCCTAACTACTTAGGGGGTAAGGATTAAAGGACTAAGCTATTTAAAATATTAATACTATATAATTATTTATATAAAATAGGTTATTTTATAACGTATTTTAAAATAAAAAGTAACCTAACTTTATTATAAGATTTTATAAGACCTCTTTAATTACTTATTAGTTTATAAATAAAATAAGTAGCTAATACTAATTAAAAACGAATATTTAAGTAGGATCTTCGTTTTTTTATAAGTTACGAAAATTTATAATATAATATTTAGAATCCTATACTTTTTTAAATAATAGGTACGTATATAAAAGGGCGTAGCTATTTATAAAATCTAATAAGACGTAGAATATATAATAATTATAATTAATAATAAAACTCGTTTTTAAATATAAATATAAGAGCTAGGAATAGACTTAAAAACTACTTTTTTATATATAAAAAAACTAAATAAAAAAAGGGAACGAGCTAACTAGGAAATTATTAATAAAGTAATTAGTATAATATTAATAGCTAATTTATTAAATAAACTTTAAATAAAAGCTATATTAGCTATAGCTTACTTATATAATATTAGCCCTAAGTAACGTACTAACTAGCTATTATTAATTTAAATTAAAAAAATCTAATTTATTTATTATTTTAAGTAATAGTAATTAATAAATATACTAAAGCTTATTTATAATTTACGTCCTTATTAAGGGTAGACGTATATATATAATTATAGAGCGTACTTTTTTAAAAAGAATTATAAAAAAAGAATTAATAAAAGACGCTTTAAAGTATAATAAAGGGAATATATTAAGTACTTTATAAGTTATATAACGAACGCCTATAACTTATATAAGATCTAGATCCCTTTATTTTTAAAAGTTATTATTATTTAAAATATAACGTTTAATAAGATAATTTTTTATTTAAAAAATAATATTAAAACTATAATTCGTTTATTTAAATTAAGGGCTATAGTAAATAAGATTTAATAGCTACTTATAATAATTAAACTTAAGTTTTAATTATTTAAAATTATAAATAAAAAAGAGGCTATATTAATTAATAATAAAAAGTAGTTATTACTACTTATACTCGCTTTATAAAAAATAAATAAGGTTATAAATAAGCTTAGTTCGTTTTTAAATAAACGAAGTAAGTAGCTACTTATTCCTAAACTAATTCTAGATTTTAAAAGTTTAGAATTAAAAACGAACTTTATTTAGCTAACTAAGTTAATAAGCAAGGCTATAAAAGAAATTAATCCTTTTATTAAAAAGATTAAAAACGTAATATATATATAAATAAAAATAAAAACTTTTTAAAGCTTTTATAAAAAGGATTTTTTTACTTAACTAGACCTTAATAAACTTTTTTAATAAATAAACTTATATTAAAAAGTAAGAGTAATAAACGACTTAGTTAGTAACTTTAATATAGTTAATATATATAATTAAAAAGAAGATAAGTATATTAAATAAAGCTAGAGGTTAAAAAACTAACCCCTATAAGTATTTATTTAAAACCCGAGTTAATAAAAGTAATTCGGGTAGTACTCTTTTTATATTTAAATAAAAAGAAATTAGGATTCTTTTTTTAATACGTATATACTTAATTAGTAAAAAGCGGTTAATAAGGTAACTTAGGGGTATTAAACGCTATATTACTACGTTTATATTATAATTAGTAAAACGAAATACGTTTTATTAACTACGGTTTAATTTAACCGAATTTATATAAATTAATTAATTACTTTTTTAGGGAAGTAAAAGGATATTTTTAAAATATTAGAACTTTTAAAAAGTTAATTTATAAAAGTAATATAGTTAGAAATTTAAAAACTAAAAAAAATAAATACTTAAAAAGTAATTAGTAGGGCGTTAGTTATTTTTAAGCCGATACTCTTTAAATAAATATTTAATTATAAACTTAATAATAATAATTACTTTAATTATTATAAAACGAGAATTTACGT